AAAATATATATATATATATGTGGGTAAATCTGTTCCCCCTATTAAAATGTGCTTGCCCCTAACAGTTCTCACAGGCATACATTTCCCCATGAGATGTTCAATATCATATGTAAGGTTGTAATGTGCCTCGAAATGGAGATGAGACTTCATGATTAAGCCCAAATATCTAGCATGATGTCAGGAATTAGTGTACAAAAGAAAAGCAAGGTTTAGATCCTGTCTGGGTATGTGAGAAGCCTTGAGGAAAACAGAGAAAAACTTTGGTTTATGTTGGCTAACAGAGAAGGCGATGGTCAGGATGCCTGATGATGGATATGGAAGTCTCAGGAAACAGAGAGAAAGAATAAGGTATGAACATGCTTATGGTAGTGATAGTTCTTGGTCTCTAGCACCGGAGTCCAGAGTGTATAGACAGATCTACAAGAAATCAACATGGTGTATTCTCTCTCAATTTTTTTTTTTTTTATTACTACTATTTTTTTTTAACTGAAAGGCTGTAAATAGACAAAGCTGGGGAAATCTTGACAGGGAAACAGGGTGAAGAGGCTGCATATGAAAAGCTGAAGATGTGTAAGAGGTCTGAAGATTTCAGGAAGAGTTAGTTGCATCAAAAGCACTTAGCGGTATTTCAAGGGAATAACAAATGTCTTTGAGAGAAGACGAGACTAGGGTGTTCTCGTTTAATTCAGGCCAGAAGGAGTTACTGGTTTAGACTGGAGTAATTTTAAGCTGGGAAAGGAAGAGAAGATTGTTTTCTTGAGGACAAGTCGTGCACTAGAACTGGATCCTCTTGTGCCTTCTGTGGTTTTTTTTCTTGACTTTTGTAAGGTGCTCTTACGGATTTATCTGCTTATTGTAGTTGTTATAAACTGTGTCCTGGCTGCAGAAAATAGGATTCCCAGAAATAAGTATTACCTACAGAAATTGGCTGTTGTGGTCTCTTCTAATGTTAAATGGTTCACGTTCTGATGGAAACCTTCCAGAACATGTTATGCTGCCCATGTTAAGACTGGAGATAATCTGTCTAAAGTACTCAAATCTGTTACATCAGTAACCTGTTTCCTGGGTTATGATGGGCTAGGACATCTGCTTGACTTAAGTGCCTGGGAGCGCATCTAACTTTGTAAATTACTTCAAATGTCTCTGTATCGGCATTGCTGTATGGCAGTGGAATTGTGAATGGCAGGAGACTTAAAGAACCACCTGGGAAATGAGGCTTCTGAATGTCACCGGAAAGGAAGCACATTCTTAATTGGAAAGTCCTGAATAAACACTGCTTTTTAGCTTTCAGCACAGTTGCCTGCAATTTATATATGTAATTTGCTCTACCTTTTGGTTATTTCTAATAAGATAATTCTTACCAGCCTGAATTGCGGTAGACCAGAAGGAGATGTCAGCTCAGATATGGTCTGTGTTAAAATGCTTGAATGTCTGAGGCTAAAATCGAGACTCAGAGGTTCTTGTGCAGTTGAGAAGTGTTGGAAGAATGATGTGAAATTAAGGTGGTGCAGATACTCAGATTGCTTTGTTTTTACCAACTGTATTGAAGGCAAATGACTTCAACAGCTTGATTATAAGTTTGTGAACATTTCTGAGTTTGTCTAGAAGGATCTGATTTGCAGATGCTGGAAGGCAAGCTGCAGTTACTAATGCTTTTCTTCTTTCCAGGCAACCATTGGAATTGATTTCCTGTCAAAAACAATGTATCTTGAAGATCGCACGGTAAGTGAGGCATCTGTGCGATAGCATGGCAGCTGCAGTCATGGGAGCAGCAGTTGCTGTGCGTGCTGTTTCGCCTGGCCGTTCCTCCAATGGCTGCTGAAATCCCACAGCAGCCTTCAAAGGGACAGCCTTTGTTAAATCAAATCACTCACCCACTCTCCTGTTTCTGATACTTGTTAATAGCTGATACCTCTAGAACGAAGTCAAAATCTTTCATGCAAAATTGGAGCAAGCTAATGACCATATCCCAGGCAATGGGTTGTCTGCTATATGTGCCTTAGGCATAGTTTGCTCCCAGAATTTGCAGCTCTGCTTCTGGGATTGTCAGTATAAATGAGTCTGAGCAGACTCCAGGTCATTCCAAGTGAAGTCATTCACAATTACCAGCGGTGACATGGTTCCTCCTCATAGGAAAGCTCCTTTTGTAACACAGTCCTGACGTACTGTTAATAAAGCAATTTTGGATTTAGCTTGCGTGAGATTCCTTTTTGCATAAAGAGATCCCTCACATCCCTCTCCTGTCTTTCCGTGTTTGTCTTTCCATTAGTCCATGTTTTGCTAGTACTTGCCTTTTTGCTAGTTTCACTACTGGCTGAGAAGTATGAAGCTGTTGGGAGGAGGAAGGGGCCAGTGGTGCAATGGAAGTCCTTTGTGTTGCTTTGGGTCTGTTGCTTCTGAAGAAATCTCAGTCCAGTGTGTGTGGTGAGTTTCCCAAGTGCTTCTCTGCCATCTTACCAGTGGTTCACTATTAGAAAAGACCTTTCTTAATCTTTCTTTGGGAGAAACTACTCGGATAACATTTTTCAATGGTGCTGGCGGTGGCAGAAGAAGAAAAAGATCTTGGGAATGCTGCTTGGCACCTGGGAAAGCAAGTTGGAATGCCTGTGTGCTTCTTTCAGCAGTGTAATCTTGCTTTATTGTGGTTGTGTAGGTCAGGTTGTCATTCACCTGCTGGCCTGCTATCCAGAAAATACCATTTTCTTTCCAATGTTGGATATGCTGTTAGCTTTCCTGATTATGTAAGTGGTCACAGAGCCCGTAAAGCCTGTTTAAATAACAGAGAGATTTTGAATGTAGATAAAAGGAGGGAGAAATACAAGCACACAAGCTAGGAAAATTCAGACATTGAAGTAATTTCTCAGATACGGCTAATATTGTATTTTGTAGTAGACTTTACTGTGCTTGAAATGGAGAATGCTAAGCCTCTAACTGCAATGTATGCTTCGGCATATTTGATATGTGTCCTGAAGTTATACTTGCGCCAGATCACTCAGCTCTAAATATGGCCTGGCTAGCACGTACTGGCCAACAGAAGGAACAAATCTATGTGGAGATGAGTTCTCCAGACCCATCTCCTGCAGCCTCCCACAGAGGGAACTGTAATACGCCATTTCCAGCATGTGGCCAGTGCATTGGGACCTGGGGCATTAAGTGAACTGGGGCCACAAGAAGCCGCATCCTCACTCCTGACTGTCAGGCTGACAGTTCCATGTTACAGCTACAACCTCATTCTTGAAAGACGAAGTAGTATTTCCTCTTCTCTGTCGTGATATCTTCCCAGGCTTGTTGGATTTCAGCACAAGATAACTCAGTCTAGAGGGTTTTTGCTATTCTGGCTTGTACCCCACTACTATGTTTCACCACATCAGGCTTTCCAGTGGGTTAATCAGTAGCTGAGGGATGCGGAGTGACCACATGTAGCTAGCTGTAGGCTGCAGTCTGGTTGTGTGGCTGTTGTAGCCAGAGTCCTGACATGGCAGGATGCACTGAGGTATGTATGCTTATTTGCCTCGTTAGCAGATAGCGTGAGAAGGTACTTCTTACGGATATCTTGGTTTTATGATTAAATGGAAGAACACGTTCGTATGTGCGAGTTATTAATGGGTCTGTGGAAGGAGGGAGGTTTCTCAGATGTGCTAGACTGAGGTTACCACAAGAATGCAGTTAGAAGTGTCATTGGCTCTTTTCACGTTTCTGTTCCATTTTAACTTTCCTTTTGTTGCATTATTTTTGCCTTGCAATTTTTTTCTTTTTATTTTTATTTCACTTGCGTTTTGGTTTTGTTTTCCATTTTCCTGCTCTTCCCCTTCCCTCTCCCCCTACGCCTTTCCATTTCCCAGATCAGGCTGCAGCTGTGGGATACAGCCGGTCAGGAGAGGTTCCGCAGCCTCATTCCCAGCTACATCCGTGACTCTGCTGTGGCTGTCGTTGTCTTTGACGTTACAAGTAGGTATTGAGCCGGAGTGTCTGCAGGGACCCTGCTTTTGACACGTGCCTTTATGCATTGGAAGTGGTGGTGGTGTCTGAAGGCAGCTAAGATAGGCTGTCGGCCCCCCGGGCTGTAGGTGTTTCGCAGGCCAATGGTAACTCCATCCCATAATACAGAAACTGGGGAATTGTTTAACCCTGGTCTGCTCAAACGATGGAAGTGATACGCAGGGGATGGGCAAGTGGGTGAAGAGGGATTGTGGCTTCTTGTGTGTCTGTGCCGATTGGAGTGAAAGGTGGTTGGTAGCCATTGGAAAGCTTTATACTTTTTCTGGTTTGGGTTGTTTGTTTTAAACCTCAGAATGAATTTATTTTTTTCCCTTTCTGGTTAACTGGAGAGGTAATACAAGTAACAACTTCAGATGCCAAAGCAAAGGAACACTGTCAGAGTAGGTAAAACAGTACAACACCCATTTAAATAAAAGCTGTGTAGTGACTTAGAGGATTGAAGAGAGCTGGCGATTCATATGAGTAACGAGAGAGCTTTTGAAAGAGAAGAGACGTTAGCTACTGTAATTTCTGAAGAATAAACAAGTTTAGAGGGAAATGCTCTATAACTCTTGGCATGAATGTTTCAGTACCGGATATGAAGATATGAATACAATTATTTCATTATAACTCCTTGTTACTGATTCCACTTGATTTGGCTTTTTTTGTTAAGCTACAGCATCAGCATAAATATCTATACAGGATTTATACCAGTGAGCCAACACCATGTGGACAAAGTCTAAGTAAAGAATATAACGCAGATGAAAAACCTCTGGCCCACCTTTGTTCTCTCACAAACTCCAGATTATAGTGAGGCTTTAGGGACCAGCAGTTTGTTTCATTTTGGTTAACTGAAGAGTTTAACAAATAATAGACCTCTGTTACCATTTATCTTGTATATTGAGGGCAAATAATGACACAGTCTTTTTCCCAGTCCTGTAGCTTAAGTACTCGACTCAAGGAGGGTTTATGGTTTGGTGCAAACCAATGTAAAACCAAAGTGGGAGTTGAGGAGTGCCGAGATGTGCACGGGATGACTTATGCAGGGAGCTCACCTAGGTGAGGCAGCTAGGCAGGCTGATGGCTTGGCATCCTTTCTCCCCACTGGTGTGACAGGTACAGGATGCTGTTTATCCAGGCAGGTGGAAAAATCTTGCCAGTCTAGGCTGTTCTTAACAGCTTCCAGACATGTCAAAAATAACTAGGCGATAGCTGATCTCATCATACTTTGGTAATGGTCTGATCTTTTCAGATAATTTCATGTTTTCTTGTTGTTGCTCTCTGTTCTGTTCTTAGTGACTGAGAGGTTTTTAGTTTTCTTGTGTTACTGAAGGAACATGCTCATGTACTTCTGAGGGCATGATGATGGTGAGCACTAGTGTGATTAAGAAAACACAGTTTCCTTTACCACTCTGAAGAGCTATATAATTTTGTTATCTTTACTGGTGACTGTATTTGGGAACCTCAAGTAGTCTCTTGTAAGTTAAGGCTGGTCATGGTAGTGTAAAATAGGGACAGTCCCGTAGGACATACTTAAGTACCAGCCAAGATACTCTTAACTAGTAGTGAGAAACTGTTAGCTAGCATGTGGGGAGCTGAGAAAGAAAAGAGAAATTGTTTAGTTGTTGTTAATCTGTTAGGTACCTTGAAATGCAAGTGACCTGTGGAGAGATCCCTGGCAAAAGTCTGTATTGCCCCTCAGGCCCCTTTCTGAACAAGCTACCTTGTTTCTAAGAGTGGCTGGGTTAATTCTTGGTTGAGGGCCTTTTGCCTTCCCAGACCGGTAAGGTCATTAGCATGCTGTCGTATTTGAGTGGGTGATTTATGTTTTCTCTTCCCCTCCAAAATGGGTGCACACAAACTTTGACTTCTAGAAAACAGGAAGCCACAGGAATGCTGCAGCTGTCTTCCTCGAGTCACTTCAGGGGTGCCTGTGTGTACCTGCATGCTAGCTGAAGGCCTTCCCTCAAATAGTGGTACCCTTCACTACGACAAGATTACCGGAGCCAATTCTTCCCCAGCTCTGTGGCACTTCCTCTAGTTGCCTTTTTGAAGGTTGGAGCGTGTAAATCACCACCTCGGTAAACTTCCTGGGTGAATAGTCTGGTGTAGCAGCAAGGGGACTATGTGGAAGCTTGTCGTGAGGTCCAGAAGCAAGAGCCAGAAGCTGTCATTATCAATCTGATCTTCTGGCACCGGTGTAATATTGTCCAGGTGGTTGGAGTTTGTCACCCTGAGTTTCCTGAGGTAGTGAAGAGCCCTGACTTTGCCAGTGTAATCAAGGCTGCCCTTAAAATGAAGCATGAGCTAATTGCTTTAACTATGACCCCTCATCTTCCTCAAGCCCCAGAGCATCAGATCTACATACCCTGATGTAGATACGATGGTGTTTTGAATCTGCTTGCAGCAAGACACTTTGCAGACACGTGCTCTGTCCAGTTTCTATTTCTGTTCTAAACAAGCCTATTACTGGTCCTTTTGATACTGCTTTCTCCTGTCTCCCGCAAGCTGCCTTATTAACCACTGTGCTGTGCATAAACCCCTGCTCTCCCTCATTGCTGAACAAGTGGCTTTGTGAGCACATCCAGCCAATTCATGTAATTAAGCTGGGAATCAGTATCTGCCCTCCTATGAAACTCATGCATGTTGAGATTGCCAGCAGCAATCTCTTTTTTTTTTTTTTTTTTTTTTTTTTTTTTCTCCTGGCAGTGTAGCACTGTTTGTACAGCTAGCTGTGTGGGGTAATGACTCGGAAGGAAATGGTACCACTCCCAGTTGTGAAAAGCTTTCGTTTAGCATTCGCTGAGGTAGCTGGGCATGTTTTGACCATTGCTGTTTCAAATAGATGAGTCCCAGACCTTAGAGCTATCATATATAGTAGGTCAGTTTGTGTTTGGGCATAGTTCTAGAGATCACACTGTACCTCTCATAGCATTTGTCCTTGTTTCTGACTCTTGTGCTTTTCTGAAAGGGAGAGCACAGTGCCCTTCGTGTCACGTGAAGCCTATAGTGTGTAACGTTTGCCTTTGTTTCTGCCAGAACTTACGTTATTGATTGCCTTAATCTTGCATGGCAATCCCCATTGCTGTCGTCTTGATGCTCGATGCTGGAGAATGGATGCTGTTTTACTAGGTGGTGTCTGGGCTGAGGGAATTTCATGTCTGTCATGTGGGAATTGCCCAAAAAGCTTTGATCTGAGGTGCTGTAGGCTAGGGGTCCCATGGAGACCGCATATGCAACCCTGGGTAGACCAGGAAGACCAGCTCTGTATTATTATTATTTATTTTGTTAGCTGCCACCATCAGCAGTGACTGGAGGTAGAAGCCATAAACTAGAGCTCTTTGGGATGTGGTGACTGGGGGAATAGCAGAATCTCTAGGCAAGTAAAAGAGGTAGTTAAAGACATTATATTAACAGAGTCAGCACAGCCAACTTCTGTGGTGTTTGGATATTTGGGGCAAGATTACAAGGTCAACCTCAGCTTCTCAGGCTGAGCTGCATACAGTTAATTCTAGAAATGGCCTTTTCTCTAAAGGACAGTTTCCTCCTTTCTTTTCTCTCTCGCTGTCTCTCTTTCTCTGCTCTCCCTGGCCTGGTACCAGCAGGTTCGGCTGCAGCTTTGGGACACAGCAGGCCAGGAGCGGTTCCGCAGTCTCATTCCCAGCTACATCCGTGACTCCACTATTGCTGTGGTAGTCTATGACATTACAAGTGAGTGATGCTTTGGTGTCTCTTTATTTGAAATACAACGTGTAAGCAGAACTAATATTTTACAATGAGAAGTTCTGCAGAAAGACAATTAACGTTAGAAACGTTTTCCCCCGTTTTTCTATTTGAGCGGGAAAACAATTTATGGGTCATTTATACATGGTGTGGGGAAATTTGGAGAAGCACCTGAGTGCGGGTATAGTGTTCTTTCTCTCTGAAAAGAAGTTTTATCTTCCCTACAGACTTGAATTCTTTCCAGCAAACCTCCAAGTGGATTGATGACGTTCGGACAGAGAGAGGAAGCGACGTCATCATCATGTTGGTGGGGAACAAAACTGACCTGGCAGACAAGAGGTAATGGAGGGGAGCTGGCAGCCTTGCTGCCCTGACCAGTAGAAGCAAGGAACTGGACAACTAGTCTGGCTTCAAAGCAATTGTTGATTTTAAACGAAGCTTAAATAGCTTGTCATGAAATTCAGATTTCTGGTTTCAGAATATGCAGAGTTATTCCATTTTGCTGTTCTACAAATAGTTTTGGTTAAAACAAATCCACCTAAAAAAATTACTTAAATTATGTGTCTCTAAACCATGTTTCTCAATAGTGTATTTTGTCTGATTTTTCTTTTCATGGCTTTTATCTTGGCTGAGATAAAACCAAAATGATGTCTTGCAAAAGCAAGGAAATCTGCCCTTTTTTTTTTTTTAATAATCCTATTTACATAACTCTTTCTCATGTGCAGTTGTAAGTTTGTAGTAAAGTTTCTTCTTGTTACAAGATGCAGCATGAGATTTTACGGTATAAATCTAAAAGGTGTCCCTCAGAGCATAAATTTCATGTCATACATAACACAAACTGTGATGATGTGAATGTGTGAGAGGAAACTAGGTTAGCAAAAGCACACTTTCACAAGAGATGTAAGAAGTTAATTGGACTCTTAAAATCACAAGGACCTAATGTTTTGGGACATGTGATAAAGCATTTTGCTTTTAAAACTCTTAATCTTCAACGTTACCAACGTAATAGCTTCTTAGAAGAACACAGTCTTGCACTCTTGCATTTCTATTTCAAATTCCTCTCTTGATTGTTGATTTAGCAAAATTTTTCTTTGTTTTCAGAGATTTTCATTCTTTTTCATCAGAAACAGTGTAGATAAAGATTTTTATTTTAACGGTTAGTGTCAGTACTAGTTGGCAAAGGGAAGAGGGAGTAAGCCATGCAGTTCTTTACAGTCCCAGTACTTTAAACTGAAACATCTTCACATGTGCCAGGTACTCCAAAATGTGCACTTCATACGTCATAAGAAGTATTGAAATGATGGGGAAATTTTATCTGATGCAAAAGAAAACATCTCAAAAAGGCAGAACTGGGAAACACCTGGACCTCACAGCGAAGTGAGGTCTTATAAAATCAAACCCTTATCCTTTGGCTGTTCACGAGACACTTCTGATCAAAAGAGAACAGCTTGAAAAGCCTTACTGGTGGAACATTAATGTTTTCTCAGAAAAACCTTGCGCTATTTTCTGAGCTTCCTGTTTGTTTACTCTGTTTCTTGGGATGATGGGCCTCATAGGGATCTGACTCTTTTGTTGTTGGATGCTATCGCATTTTAAATTCTAAACCTTGCTTTACTCACTCCTGCAGCATATGTATTGTGATGTGTTTTTTTCCCTTGTGGTTTTGGTGTTGTCCAAATGCTCGTATGAGACAATACCCAGCATCCCTGGCCGCACAAACTGGTGTCAGGAGATGCTTTTTGCCCTTTGTCCCTGCACAAGTCATGCTGGTTTTAGTTTGCCATGCCTAGCAGGAAAAGCATAGACTGGCAAGTGGTTTGAGTCAGTGGGGAAAAGGATAAAGTTAGGCTCCGATTGAGCGCTGCGTGCGCTTTGTACTGATGGTTCTTAACAAAACGTGTCCTGTCCCTTCCATGCAGAGCACCTTAGTCTTGACAACTATTTGGCTTTTCCCACTTCCAGTGGGAGGCCATTCTAAGTGTCCTGTGCCTTGTGCTTTGGAAACAACAGTAAAACTTGGTGCTCAGAGCTTCAGAAATATGAGAAAAATGTGTATAGCTGATTTGGATTAAGAATTCCAGGTGGTAAGACCTCAGATCAGTCTGGTCTCTGAAATAAGCTTACAAAAGCAATAGAGCAAAATCCAAGCCAGCTCTGGATGTTGACTACTTAGTATCTCTTATGCCCTCTTGGGAGCTAGAAATAACTGCAGCTCCCTAACTGAATAACCTGGCATTTGGGTTTGAGGCTTTCTAATTTCTATCAAAATCGAATTTCATGTGGAACTGGAAAACCCAATGGGATAATTTCTGCCTTGGATTATTTCCCAATAGTACGTAAGTGGAGTGTGTGTGCAGGACAGCTGGCCCAGCACTGCCATAAGAATTAAAAATACCAGAAAATTGTTTGAAACTTGGCTACAGTTGAAGTTCATGTAGCACTAGAAATTCTTGTTTTAGAAGTTTAATGTGACAGTAGTCCTGGTCTGGGCTAGAATTTGGAATTACGGTGTATATCTAGGTATCAGTAAAAGAAGCTGCATTGCCTTTCTTTTAAAAGGAAGTTAGATTTGTGTTAGGCTGGAATGCTGGGCCTTTTAAGGCTCGATAAAACCACAGGATCAGTCATTGGTCACACTTTTTGAAATAGAATACAGTGTATTGGAAGCCATTCATCCTATGGTAAAAACCAAGTGATGTTGCAAGTTAAGCTCTGAGGCCAAAAAGCTAAACTAAAAATAGCACTGTTCTTATTTGGTGCAGCCTGTTAGATTTTTCTTTGCTGTTAATGTTGCTTCAGTTGGTGGCTGGATTTTCCCTGCAGTTTTCTTTTTATCATTTTTGGACTATTTCTTTTTGGTTTCGTTTTTCTTTTCTGTGATTTGTTCTCATTGCTGTAGACAGGTTTCTATAGAGGAGGGTGAGAGAAAAGCCCAAGAACTGAATATGATGTATATTGAAACCAGTGCTAAAGCAGGATATAATGTGGATCAGGTATGTACAGGGTATTGATCAGAGATGTGTTTGCTCACAAGCAGCAGCCTAGCACTTGCTGTTGCACTGTACTTGCTGCTGGAGCCTTTCTGAAATCTTTCTGTAACCTCCCAGTTACCTTCTGTTGACTTTTGGGAAACTGCTTTTTCTATCAGGTGCAGCGTATGGGGATGCTTCCTTCCCTTGAGGATGATGCTGTGAATGAGGCTCAAATGTACTGCACAAACTTCATCGTGTGCTGATCGTCTGTTATTAGTAGTCCTAAGTCCAGGCGTTCCCTGGGTAACTTAGCAGAGGTGGTTTCATTCTTAGCTGGAGGACCTGGGGGTCTTAAAAGACTGAGAGGTCCTGAGGTCTCAGTTGGTGGACTGTGCACTCTTGTAAGGGGTGGGGAAGCGGTCCTCCACTGAAGAAAGAGCCTCTCACTCACAGACGTCTCTAACTCTTCCTGTCTGTTCTTCCTTTCTGTCTCTCTGCTTCTGTTTGCATTTTTGCCCAGGCAAATCACTACAGAAGAAGGTGAACAGAGAGCCAAAGAGCTGAACGTGATGTTTATTGAGACCAGTGCAAAGACTGGATACAATGTGAAACAGGTAGATCAATGTTCTGCTCTAAAACAGGAAATCTGTACTTCTCTGCTCTGTAGGTGGGAGGATTAAGCTTCTGCTTATTTCTGTTTATTGTCAACCACTGAAATGCTTCTTGCACAGTCCTCACTGCTGCTGCTTTATCTAGTGGAAACTCCTTTCCTGTCAAGTCAACGATTCCCTGTTAAAGCTAAGCAAGCTTACCTTGAAAGAAAGGAGAGTCTAAAACTAGAATGTGCTGAGGGATAGGAATGC